GAGGCACAGTGGTCTCCCTTGGACACATACTCTCCCTTATAATGACCGCCACCCCCCCGCCCCTACCCCGGGCCCTCGGCTGATGGAATGCTTGGAAACCTGGTGGGCACAGATCAACAAGGGGGACTCCCCCTTCTATGCCCAACCAGGTCTCGGTGATACCCGCCAGGTCCGCTCCCCCCTCGTGAATAAGTTCTTGGATGAGGGGGGCCTTATTTACCACAGACCTGGCGTTGCATAACATCAGCCGATGGACCCGGGCCGGAGGATCTAAGGTCCCTGGAGGTCGAGCAGAGCTCTGAGGATCGGAGCACCCACAAGCTTGTAAGTAGTGTGTGCGTGCTCCCAAAACCCGATATGGTCCTCTGCTCCCGCCATACCTGCCCCTCCCACTAACCGTACCTATCACACCACCCTCCGCCAGCCCCCCAGTCTCCTCCCTTACCACTCCGCGCCCCCCAGCCAGGACCGGCCTTGGCCTCCGAGAGGACTCCCCTAGTTCCCCTCGGGCCAACCCCGAACCCCCTAAAAATTTAGCAAAACACCCCTCTAAGAAGGCATATAGTTTCCTCCTTCTTAGATCCCTCCCTGCTGCCGCTAAATGCCACCTCTCGGGGTTCCAAACCCCTTCATTAAGGCCGGCCCTCGGAATCGTGTTGGGCCATGCCTGCGCGATGGGGGAGTCGCGCAGGGCCAGCAGTTCCCTCCTGGAATACAGTCCCAAGTCATGAGAGGAGGTCCAACAGCAGAGTTGGGAAGGGGAAAAGTCCTCGTGGTGGTGGTCAAGGGGTTAGATGGATTGGAAGAAGGCGACATAGTTCGTAGATCTTTACACCCCCCATAAGAAAGAAAGAGGGAGGGGGGAGGGAGTTGCAGTCAAAGTCGGCCAGCCAGCAGCGTAGGCCTCCGGGCCCGCCGAGCCCAGTCACACAGGTCCCCAGGGCCCCCAGGCACTCACCGTCAGGCATATCCCTCCGGCCAATGCCTCCCTTGGGCCCTGTCCTCCGCCCGGGCCGTTCTTCCGCCCGGGCCGCTGTGCCACTGTGCCGGCGCGCCCTCCGGGCCGCTGTATACCACGCTGCTGGGCCGGCACAACCTCCGGGCCACTGTATGCCACGTCTCTGGTCACTCCTCCCTACAGGAGGGTAGTCCTCGACT